CCTCCCCAAGATCCACCGAGCCGGAAGCTCCCCCTCCTCCTGAGGTTCTGGACCAGCCCTCGGTGTACCAGGTGAAGGAAATCTTAAATTTGCGGCGACAGGGCGGCCGGTTGCAATATTTAATCGACTGGGAAGTATACGGAGCGGAGGAGAGGTCTTGGGTGGCCCGCGATGATATACTGGATCCATTACTGCTAGAAGAATTCCACCGCAACCATCCAAACCGTGCCGAACCCCGAAGTCGCGGTTGCCCTCGTCACCGCATGGGGGCATCAGGAGCCGCCCCTAGAGGAGGGGGTAATGTCAGGAAATCATCACAATCACTCACGTCAGAACAGTCACCTCCTCCGACACACACCAGATCCCAATCACCCGAATTCTGATCACCTGCACCTGCAATCACCAATCAAGCCCGCTATATCTTCTCACTCCACTCAGTATTCCAGTGTCCGGTATACCGTTCACTACCTGAACAATACCAGACTCCTTACCTGCATACTTACCTGTTGTTTCCTTACCTCCAGGGGTCTATAACGTCTCCGTGATCCCGATTCTCCTCAGCCCCGGTTCATCTCCAGGATTCCTGCAACAATCAGAACCCAGATTCTCAAGAAGCTAAGAAACCAAGAACTTTCATATATCTCTCATACTCACCCGCCTTCGATCCTCACCATTACAGCATTGTCAATAAACCCTTCTGTTTACCTGCACTCCTCTTGTCTCTGGCTTGTTTGTGATGGGTAATATGCTGACACTTGAATTGAAGGTTATTGGAACTCCTATGTTTACAGATGGTTTAACACAGAAATAGCAGTTGCTATGCTTATAGGCAACCTTTGAGCAATACAGTGGACCTAAAACAGAGTCTTAAAAGTGATGACGCTGTCCCACAGAACCTGTGTCTGAGGCACATGTAAAACGAAGCCAGTCCTAATAGCCGGCAGCAGTCATTGACACGTTTAAGCCTCGATTATGCTGGATGTGCTTATTGTTACTAGTTTCCGCTCAGAAATCTTTGCTACCATTTGTCTCTCTTTGCAAGCAATGGGAGTCAAATCTCTGCGCCTTGAGGTTCTGGCCCCATGTTTGTTGAGACAGCTCAACTTCTCCCACTGGCTCAGAGGGAGACATTATACCTAAGTCTGCCTCCTCTTCCTCCTATCATAGCCCAGAATATGATGAGCTTATGGAGCTTAACTTGTGCTACAGCTAAACTAAGCCCAGACTGGTCGGGTCCAAAACAGGAAATCGCTTGTGGTTGTGTAGACAAATGATTCGGGCTAAGAGTAGGCCGAAATGCGACCTGGGGGCAGTGATTTCAGCTAAGAGGAAGTGGTGATGAAGATGAGTGATGCTCAGACTCTCTTCCTCACTTCCAATCCCCCTGAGGAGGGTATTGGGTTACAAGAGGTTTTTAGACCATTATAAAGGTAATTTCTGGAAATATAATGGGTTACATATAACTTTTATAATGGTTAGTGGTTGGGATTGGTCACTCTGAAAAAAAAAAACCAGGAAACTTACAAGTAAAATGAATTAGTTCAAATGAATTAAATAGACACTCTTTATGCACCCCCGTGAGACTGGGTGATTCATGAATTTAACGCTTAGGCAGTCACTTCTTTGTCACCCCTTCTGGGGTTTGTTTGTGTAAACATAGCCTGGATTATGTTGGCATGATTTCTGAAGCAAAGGTGTAAGAAGAAGGGATTTACCCACTTGTTATCTATCCATCCACAGCATCTAGCTGGAAGACAATGTGTGGCTGCAGTACTAACCAACTAACTAACTAAATTAATTAATTAATTAATAAAGGGGGATACTGAGTTATGCTGGGTTCAGACTACATTATATTTTTGTCGGTCACGATAGTCACTGTGTCAGATTACACGATTTTGACTCCTAAAATCTTGTTGTGTCGTGGACAAGAAACATGTCAGACTACACGTTGCTTCCCGCGCATGATGTCATCGAGAAGGCGGAACTAGCGACTGATTTCCGAAAACAAGAGTATAAACATTGCTGAATCGCTTCCGCTATAGTTCGCCAGCATTTTTCTTTCTTTGTTCTGTCGTGGTAGTCCCTCGATGACACATCGTACAGGCAGGAGTACAGTTGCCACAGCTCCACGAACCTTTCCTCCATCTCATAATTCCACCTAGCAGCACCATCATCTCTCTTTCGTTTCACATGTTTGAAACCTATGTATGAAAGAGCTTCTTTGCTGCTATTGGTCAACATCACCAATGTGACAGAACTCGTTGTGGACGATGGGAAAAAAAATGAAACATGCTAGTC